TTTATGATCTAGATTCTACCATTTTTTACTCTTTCTGAAGACTGACCAACTTGAGATAATGCTGGAGCATTCAGAATAACCCAGTACTCTCATCCTATCATTTCCTCTGGTCCCTTCCCTTCTATCAAATTATATGTTTTATAACAGATTCTGAATTAAAAAGGTGGAATTTGTCATTCTCTTCCCCAAACCCAAAGTGCTGTTTCCTCTCCACTCCCCACCAACCTCTTCACAGGCCTCAGTTGCTTGTACTACTGAAGCTGGATGAAGACTTACACGTCAAGCATCCTCGCCTCCTCACCTTTGCTCACAGCTCAAGCAGGAAAGGGTCTCACTATTGTGGGCTCTGTCATCGTGGGGAAACTTCCTAGAGAACTATGGTGAAGCCTTAGCTGCCTGAGCAGGTAAGAATCAAGACTTTTGGACCTTAGCTTATAGCTTTGCAATGTTAAATAGTAAGACCTCAGTCTTCTAAGTTACTCCATTCCTTTACGATCGAGGAGGTTTCCTGCTTAATGCTGACCTTTTAAACATACACATTTTCTCCCAAATAATAGAAGCCAGAAGTTAGTCACTAATCTATCTTCTCATTTAAAGCAATACTAGTTGTAAAAGTATTAAAGCTAAACATTATTTCCAGATAGATTGCAAACACTGATCTGAGCACTGAGAGAATCATGTAAAAAATTATCTCTTTAGAGGGTTTCTCTCAATCTTGTGACAGTAAGGAGCAGTGAACAACTTTTCTTCCCCTTTGCTAATCTATATGGTATCATGAGCAGGATTCCTTTGCTATTTCATTAATTACGTACTGAACATTAAAGTTCTACCTTAAGAAGAATTAGTTTTCACTCTAATACTTATTATAAATGATAGAACTAATGGTATTGTTTAGATAAGTATTCAATTGAATTCAGAAGTTTTACCAGATTTCATTTTGGAATGCTTTGAAATCCTAAAAACTAGAAATGCTAAGAACATTAGTCCAGGATGATGGAATAATTAATAAAAAGTACCAAGATTATGGCAGGACATAAGGGCTCACTCTTGTAATCCTAGCACTTTCGAGAGCAAGGTGGAGGATAGCTTGAAGCCAGAATTCAAGACCAGCCTGAGCAAGAGCAAGTCTCTGCCTCTACACAAACATAGAACAATTAGCCAAATGTGGTGGTGCACACCTGTAGACCCAGCTACTCTTGGAGGTTGAGACAGGAGGATCACTTGAGTCGAGGATTCAAGGTTGCAGTGAGCTATGATGAGGCTACTATACTCCAGCCTGTGTGACAAAACAAGACCCTGTTTAAAAAAAAAAAATACACAAGGTTGTAAATTAAGAGAGATTGATTTTTATCTAGCCATATCACTGACTTAATCTGTGCTTTGAGAAAATAGTTCCATTTTCCACACCATTATGCCTTTTCCACCAATAGGATGCAGTAAGAGTAGATGGATATTATCTCCAAATTGGCTTGACTAAATAAAAGAATAGTAAAGCAAATACAAGTGTCATCAATAATCACCATTAAAATGTCAAAAAGGAGAGGCAAAAAAGAAAACATACCTAGGGTCAGGTGTGGTGGCTCACACCCTATAATCCTAGAACTTTGGGAGGCCCAGGCAGGAGGATTACTTGCACCCAGCAGTTCAAGACCAGCCTGAGCAACAAAGTGAGTGTCTGTCTCTACAAAAAATAAAAGAAGTAGCTGGGCATAGTGGTGCATATCGCCTGTAGTCCTACTTGGGAGGCTGAGGCAAGAGGTCACTTGAGCCAGGAATTTGAATTGAGCTGTGTTGAGGCCACTGCATTCTAGCCTGGTAACAGAGCAAGACCCCATCTCAAAAAAAGAAAAAGAAGAAGAAAATATTTCTGAGAAAATTCTAAAGTGAAACTGAATCATCAGCTTGAGTTTCTAGTAAGATAAGTCAGGGCATGCTGGAGCTGAGGGCAGAAGGGGATTGTGTTCAGATGAGTGAATCATCATGGTCAATTGAGAAAGAATGCTGAATATCCACCATGTAGAGATCACCATTCTCAATTTTTTGATATATTACAAAGGAAGAAAAGCAGAATAAAGGAAAAGGCAACAAAACTACATGTAGACAACTAGCAATAGCTGTAAAAATATAAAGTAAGCACTTAGTGAAAAAGACAAAGGATCATGAAATGTCATCAGATAATTTTAACTTTTTGGAGTTCTCTATAGAGATACAATCTTATGCCAAGTTTAGAAAAAGGAGGGGAATATAACAGGGAGAAGGATTAATGGGTTAAAAGGTCCAAGGTAAAGCAATTTGGTGTTGAGGTCCTGTGTCTCTTTCAGACCATAAAGCACCTCATGGAGGCAGAGAAGGTAAAAGGATTCTGCCAGCTGGTGGTGGCTGCCAAGCTGCGAGAGGGCATTTCCACCTCATCCAGTCATGTGGCCTTGGGGCATGAAGCACAACACGGTGGTGATGGGCTGGCCTAACGGCTGGCGGCAAAGTGAAGATGCTCGAGCTTGGAAGACATTTATTGGTACAAATCATTTCTTGTACAAACCAAGGGCCCAAATAGGGGATATAATTAAATGTCTGTCACCACTAGCCTCCTAAAGTAAGAGACTGTGCCATTGCTGAAAGATAGTCTTATAAGGCCACCTAAAAACTAGTAGTGATAACTAGATTCTACCTACCCCTCCCAGGTTTACATGATGTTCATGAATTGTTTATCTCTGTCAAGTTTTGTGCTAGGAATCATCTCCAAAATGCCATGTTTGTATCTGTGATTTCCCACATCGATATTCTCACAGGAATTGGAAGGATTGTTCTTTAGCATCAAAATCTCCCAATTCACATATTCACCACCCTTAGAAATGTAGTAATCAGAATGTATCCAGTAACATAAACCATGGTTCTCAATCTAATTCTTTAACTATTCAGATTTTTCTTGATGATTTTTTTTGTTACTTAATGAGTTATAACTTACTATGTAAATAGAATACCTTGCTCAAAGAAGTATAAAAAGAGCATTATCCTTACTCCTGACATGGTGTAAAAGCAAGACAAGCCTAAGAATTCTTCTCTGCTTATTCTGATTCTCTATTTTTATACCCCTAGGCACAGTTCGAGTGACAACTGCTGCCCATCTCGCTCTGCTGGTGGCTAAAAACGTCTCCTTCTTTCCCAGCAATGTGGAGCCATTTTCTGAGGGCAACATTGATGTGTGGTGGATTGTGCATGATGGGGGGATGCTCATGCTCTTACCATTCCTACTGAAACAGCACAAGGTATTTCAGACAACTTTTCCAAAAAGTCTTTCTTCCTGCTGTCCTGATTCACTAAACAAAGTCTTCCTCTTTGATTATGTAGTGTTGGGGCTTAGAATCAGGGATTGGGGATTATTCCTGACTCTCCCATTTTCAACCTTATGAGAAATAGTTGTGTTTGTATTTAATACCTACCCATCTCCAAGTAAAATTAAGCAATAAATAAAGTTCCATATGAGCCCTTGGGGAAAAAGAATAAGAGTGAACACATCTTTGAAAAGAAAAAAATACTAGAAACTTAAAGTATGTGTGTGTGTATTTCATACACACATATGCTCATACTTTGGTAAAACTAATGAAACTAAAATTTAAAATAGTAAATATTATACCTGGTGGCCAGGCGCGGTGGCTCATGCCTGTAATCCTAGCACTCTGGGAGGCCGAGGCGGGTGGATCGCTCAAGGTCAGGAGTTTAAAACCAGCCTGACCAAGAGGGAGACCCTGTCTCTACTATAAATAGAAAGAAATTAATTGGCCAACTAAAAAACAAAACAAAAAAAGTATATATATAATTAGCTGGGCATGGTGGCGCATGCCTGTAGTCATAGCTACTTGGGAGGCTGAGGCAGAAGGATCACTTGAGCCCAGGAGTTTGAGGTTGCTGTGAGCTAGGCTGATGCCATGGCACTCACTCTAGCCTGGACAACAAAGTGAGACTCTGTCTCAAAAAAAAAAAAAAAAGACATCACAAGCCATTTTTTTGCTTGCTAGTTTTTTATTGTTATGAAATTAAGAACTTCCCTAAAACTGTGTTGAAATGTGTTTGTTTAGTTAGTCTTTTGTCCTAGTATAATCACATAGCAAATAGGAAGCAAAGGACAAATACCCTCATACTGTTAGTAAGGTTGCTCTAGGCAGTAATGCCTCATGTTTTAGGAAATAACTCTTTTTTGCCCTCTTGCATCTAATTTTCCATGTGTCTCTGCACTCAGGTGTGGCGAAAGTGTAGCATACGGATCTTCACAGTAGCCCAACTAGAAGACAACAGTATCCAGATGAAGAAGGACCTAGCCACCTTCCTGTACCACCTGCGTATTGAGGCAGAGGTGGAAGTGGTGGAGATGGTGAGAGAGCTGAGTTTAAGATAGAAGAAACCACCATTCCCACATCTCCCACCCCTATCCCCACCCTGTCTTTTTTGAACCTTTTCTGATTTGGGAAATTGTTTGGCTATAAATGTGAATTAATCACCCAGTGCAGGGGGCGGGGGGACTCTAATGTTTTGACCTAAGTAGAATGTGTATGTGATATGTGTTTGGTATGTTTTTGTTTTTGCTTTCTTGTTTGTGTTTATTACACAGCCCTTATATTTCTGCTAGATTCTTATCTGCTTAATATAGTTCTATTAATTTTTAATTTGTACATTCATGCTTGAAATCACACATGGCTCTTTTTTTTTTTTTTAATAACCAAGCAGTATTTAACAAAAAAAAAGAGGGAGAGATAATAGTTTGCATTTTGTATTTCAAGGCAGCATACATAATGGCTAGATAATGGAAAAGACTCTTAGAACTTTAAGATTTTATCTATAGGAAAAAATGTTTATGTAGCTCAATGACCAAAATAGGGGTCAAACTCAGGTTTATAATTGTCATACTTTCTCTGGTTTAATTTAGTGAGTGGAAATAACAATGTATAGTTCATCTTACTTTCTCCTTTGTGCTTTTTGCCCATTTTGTGTGATACCTGTGGCAGCATGACAGTGACATATCAGCTTACACTTACGAGCGTACTCTGATGATGGAGCAAAGGTCCCAGATGCTCCGGCACATGCGACTTTCCAAAACAGAGCGGGACAGAGAGGTGAGACCTCACTGCATCGACCTAATCCTGGCCCTATGTAGTCCATCAGCCAAAGGGATGATACTGTATTATTTTCACAGGATAACAAATTCTTTCCTTCTCACTTTATCAGTTATTGCACTATAACTCCATTATTGTTTCAAAATAATTGAAGATGAAGCATGAGAGAAAATTAGGTAGGATAACTATGTTGGACCTTTCTTAGGCACAGTTGGTGAAAGACCGGAACTCAATGCTAAGATTGACCAGCATTGGCTCGGATGAGGATGAAGAGACAGAAACTTATCAGGAGAAGGTACACATGACTTGGACAAAGGACAAGTACATGGCATCCCGGGGGCAAAAAGCCAAGTCGATGGAAGGATTCCAGGACCTGCTTAACATGCGTCCGTAAGTTTTCCTACTTAACAAGCTTATCAGATAATATAATAACCTAGTCAATGGTACAGATGTGGCTTTGCCTGGACACACAAGACAGAGTCTGTTCTTCATTTTACCCTAAATCTAGTCATCTCTTTGTTTGCCTATGCATATTTGCTCTCAATTAACATTGTACATAAATTAAGCATCCTTTCTCTCCACATAGTTCACCTCCATACTGTGTTCCTAGTATTAATATAAAATAAGCAAGTGTAGAATGAAAAAACCCAGGATATTATCATAAAGAAATAATTTTATCACATTACCTATAGTCAAGTAAAAAAGCTCTGGATCTCAAGTGTTAAATATTGACTATATAACTTGTCAGTATTTTTTCTCTTTGCCTTACCTACCTCTGTTTGTTTCTTCCCCACCCAGGGACCAGTCCAATGTGAGGCGGATGCATACAGCCGTGAAGCTCAATGAGGTTATAGTAAACAAGTCCCATGAAGCAAAGTTGGTTTTGTTGAATATGCCAGGACCACCCAGAAACCCTGAGGGTGATGAAAACTGTATCCTTTTTAAGAGTGGAGCACCCAGTAGGGAAAATCTTCTTAGTCTCTTTCTTAGATGAGATAACTAGGTGACTATAAAAGTCATTGTCAGGCCAAGTGCAGTGGCGCACACCTATAATCCCAGCACTTTGGGAGACTAACATAGGAGGACTGCTTTAGGCTTGAAGTTCAAGACCAGCGTGGGCAACATAGTAAGACCCCCATCTCTACAAAAAAATCTGAAAATTAGCCAGGTGTGGTGGCACATACCTGTAGCCCTAGCTACTTAGGAGACTGAGGTAGAAGGATTGCTGGAGCCCAAAAGTTCCACCCTGGATGACAGAGTGAGACCCTGTCTCTTTAAAAAAAAAAAAAAAATCTTTATACCCCCATTTCCCTCTTTGAGGAAGGAAGACTTAAAAGTCTTAGGCAAGGATTCTTACAAAAGTCGTGAGATTAATCTCTTTTGAGGGAGTTGGAGGTGTAATATATTCTCTCTGAACCCTAAAAGACTTTTTAGGTGGTATATTTGCAACAGGATGTCTAATTCAGTGTATAATATTAAATAGTAACAATAAGGAAGTATCAATGGTAGGATGGAGATCTTTGTGGTGATAGACTAGTTCTGTATCTTGATGACATGGACAGTTACATGGATCTACACATATGATACAATGACATTGAATGTACACACATTGTACACACATATGTACACACATTGTACCAATGTCATTTTTCTGGTTCTAATATTGTACATGAGATGTAACCATTGGGGGAAACTAGGAGAAGGCACACAGGACCTCTTTGTATTTTATTTGAAACTTCCTGTGAATCTATAATAATTTCAAAATAAAAAGTATTAAAAAAAAAGACAAGGCCAGGCAGGTACAGTGGCTAATACCTGTAATCCTAGCACTTTGGAAGGCCAAGGAGGGAGGATCATTTGAGAGACCAGGAGTTCAAGACCAGCCTGGGCAACATAGCAATCTAGTCCCTACAAAATATATATATATACATAAAATAATATATATATGTATATATGTATTCTATACACTGGATATATATTTTATTTTCAGTGTATAAAACCCTGACAGTCCTAGAGACAGAATATCCACATTTTTTCTTCCTTTTGGGCTCTACCTACTTTGCAAAGCCTCTTTTTTTTAGATGGAATTAGGGGAGAAGCAGGTGAGGTAGAGCCTCCCTTAACTAAGGTGGAAAAAAGAGATGGGGATTATTCTTCATACCCTCATCCCAGGATTGTTTTTATGGGAACCTTTCAGCACTGAATGACATAGACTGGCCCATTCCTACTAGTTGCATTTATGAAAAGTTAAAAAAAAACAGAAAGAATGGGCTGGGCATGGTGGCTCACACCTGCAATCCTAGTACTTTTGTTTTTGTTTTTTGTTTTTTTTTTAATCCTAGTACTTTTGGAGACCAAGGTGGGAGGATCACTTGGGGCCTGGAGTTTGAACCAGCATGGGCAACATAGCAAGATCCCATCTCTACCAAAAAAATAAAAAATGAACTGACAGAATAATCTGACTTGAACAGTTTCACTTAGAAATTACTTGGGTTCTCTCTAGTAATCTTAAAAGCTGCCCTATTGTGGCTTTTTCTTATTATTTTTTGGCATTTTTGTCATATTTTATCATTTAGAATAACATATTACTTGTGGCTTCTCCCCACCTTTTCCTTTTTTTTGAAACAGTCTCTCTGTCACATAAGCTGGAGTAGAGGTGGCATGATCATAGCTCACGGCAGCCTCAAATTTCTAGGCCTAAGCAATCCTCCTGCCTCAGCCTCCTGAGTACCTGGGATGACAGATACGTGCCACCAAACCTGGCTAATTTTTTATGTTTATTTTTTCTAGAGATTGGGTCTCCCTATGTTGCCCAGGCTTGTCTCAAAAAATCTACCCACCTTGGCTTCCCAAAGAGCTGGGATTAAAAGTATAAGCCACCATGCCCAGCCTTTTCCCATTTTTAAAAGTGACATTTAGAAAATATCTAACAAATGGGGGACAGTCTTGTATTATATATGCAAAAAAAATTAGATCCTTAGATTACTTCGCAGGGTTAAATTAAATCCAAAGTTGAGACTTTTCTAATTCTGAGTATGTAATAATTAAGACACACATGCTGATTTTATAGCTCTATGATCAGATAAATGGATTATGATGGTGCCAGGTTGTAAATACATGCTCTTTTGCCTGTTTTTCTCCTTGACAAATTATGAAGATATGGAGTTCCTAGAAGTGCTCACCGAGGGACTAGAGCGAGTTCTCCTTGTCCGGGGTGGTGGCAGTGAAGTGATCACCATTTATTCATAATCTGTTCCTGAATGATTTTGCTTAGCCTCACCTTCCCTAAAAGGCCTCCATCCTCCATGGAAGTGCCAGCTCTTTACTACCACTCCTGCTCAACTAGAGGCCTGTGTTCTACACACATCACACTGAAATCTAGATGAGCTGAGCCTCAAGTCCTTGTGCAGAAGAGTACAAATGGATCTGCTCTTTGCTCCCATATGATGTGCAGTCTTTACAGAAGCAGCAAATATTCCCGCAACATCAAAACAATGGTCAAGTCTTAAATAAAAGCCATGTCTGACTGAAGGCAAATTAGAATTAACAAGCTGTGCTAATCACTGAATTGGTAAAAGGGATGCTAGAAATTCAACTGAAGACAAAAAGCAAGTATATATCCAACATTAGAAATGAGTCTCAGAAATCATGGTTCAATGATGACATCAGAGGGGTAACAGCCAGAAACAGCTTCATCTTGCTGAAGAATTCATGGCTAAGAATATGGGGACCTATTATCCTATGGAGATAACCTGTGGCAAGCCAAGCTGGAAACATTTTTTAGCTAATTATCTTTAGTGTACCCACTGCTTTCCTCTAATTTTATATTAGGGTACTAATGTACAAAACCTGAAACATGGCTGCAGCCTCTATTTCTTTTCCAAACACAAGAGTCCCCCAAAACACCAGGTTTAAGTATCTATACTGCGTCAGTGTATATTTCACCTGTTTGTTTCTCTTAACTCAAAACCCATTCTGCGGTTGTAACACAGGCTATGTGTACCATGGAAAACATGTTTTTTAAAAAGTAAAAGTTATTTTTTTCAGGTTCTTTTCAAATGGCTGAACTAAGGGAATTCCAAAAAGAAGCTATTAAGATATACTGAAATACAGTGTGGTTCTCTATGCAACATGGACAAAACATACACAAGCTGTTATCTAAAAAATATAGGTCATGATGCACATTGACCATAGATTCTCCTTTCTTTCTTTTTTTGCCCTCTGAGTTAGAAGGTACAGGTCAAAAATCATAAGGAACAAACACTAGGAAGACTGGATAAAGTCCTTCCCTAAAAGCTTTGGACTATCTTTTAAAGGGGGAATCTAGCAATGGAATTGGAAGTTCTAGAGCCATATTTTTCCATAGTGCCAAAGTTACTGAGCTGCTACTCTCCTTACCTACTTCACTAAGTGGCATACAGATTGGCATTGGCCTGATTCAAGAAACTTTTCTTCCACTGAGAAACCTGTGGCCTCATCTCCAAAGCCATAGTTAAGACAAGGCATTCAACTTAATGCCCAGAGTATGAGCATTTCCCCTTTTTCTTTCAATTTTATTCTTCATTTGGACTGCAGACATTTGACCCTGAACAAAGAGATTATCCAAACCAACGGTCTTCTGCTATTTCAGTTTTGTTTTCAGAAAGCTCAAAATGTGCCAAGGAAAACTTGTGCAAGCTCAGCTTTTTTATTTACCAATTTACTGATTAGAAAACATCTGGCTTACAAGCATAAGTAAACTATGTGGCTGAGTAGTAATTTAAAGTATGTGGAATCTTCATTTCTTTTACAGGATAAGTATTTAGAGAAACTGTATTCATGGTTGTTTTTGAATTTCACTTTATTAATGACAAATAGTGCAGTTCTTCTTTGATTCCCAAATAGGCTATGAAGCAAGCTGGCCTATGTGTCACAAATTAAGGTCAGAGAAAACCCTTCAATATGGCTTAAGAAATTGTCATTTTGATTTATTCCCTTTGCTCATACTTCAACCTCTAGGATAGCAAAGCAGATAGGATCTTGTCTTTTTTTCTGCTCCTTCCTACAGAGGGTAGAAGCATTGTTTACAACTCCACTGCAACACTCCATTGCCTAGTTGAGTATACCAGTAGTGGGTGAGGTCCTCTAGGACCCAAGATCTTAAAGACCCATACTATAAAAGCCTGCCCAGAATTCCCCTATACCTACACACACCCCTGGCCAACACAATGTATTTTTTTTCTATAGAGAACAAATATGGGCAGAAAATAATGTTAGTTTTAGAAGTGCTGTTTGTGGTTGGAGCTCTGTAAAAATCTTTTAAAGGGATAAGGGAATTAGTGGCTATTAATCTAGCCACTACTTCAATCCCTAAAACAAAATCACTGTTACATCGAAAAATGATTAGGCCAGATTTATACTCAAGCTGTCTAGAACATTTCATGTCTATGTATGTTGCTTATGCTGTTTGTTTCCAAAGTGTCTCGTCTCTTTTAATCACTGCAAATAAAGCAATACTGAAAACTTGATGAGAGAGAATGCACCTTAGGGGAAGGGGCTTTGTGTTTCAAGAGGGAAGAGAAAGGAAAGACCTCCTCCTGCCTTTTGAGTAAGATCCAGCTTTTAAGTCTTACCTATGACTTTATCAGGGCAGGTTATAATAATACACGTTCTCCTCCTGTGGGCCTTCTGCCTTCCATAGTTATCTTAAAAGCTGATATTTGAACTGCAGCATCTTCTTAACAGGTGCCAGGTTCCTCTTGGCAGGGGAAAGATCACTGTATATCTTCCATTGCCTCAGATTGCTGTGGCCCCAAGGATCCCACCAATCCTCATTCCCCCAAACATGTTAAAGATCCTCTGTTGTGGGTATTAAAATAACAATTATACTGTAAGCATATTTATGTGCTCTTTTTGACTGGTTTATATTTCTTTTCATCATGTATAATCTGAATCCAGCATTAGTTTCTCATATCTTCCACAAGTGTCTCCAGCGGAATTTTTATGTCCCAGCTTGTATAAATAGAAAAGAAATATTAAGAAAAGTAGACTTAAGGGAAACTTGTGCAACTTTTTTTAAAGTATTGTTCTCAACTATTTAATTTATTGAAACGAGATGCTGCTATAGTTCTTGATTTAGCAGCAACCATTCTTTTGTTTACATAGAGTTATGGTTTTATTTGTTGTTTTGCTCTGTACTGGAAACATAAATAAAGTTTTCTACATTATTTTCAGTCAGGGGTTGTGGTACAGTTTATTTGTGTTTGTAATAATGTGAACATTGTCCTCCTAGTAGGATCTATCTCCTCACCATGAAGAAGAGACCTTTTTGGTTTTTTTCAACACGAGTGATTATTTTAAGAGTATGATGAGGAGCTACTGGGCAAAAAAGGAGGATATAAATAAGACCCAAATACATAGGCACCAGGTGCTGCTTTCTCAGGTTCACAAAAGCAATCCTCCACCACTGAACTCCATTCTCTGAAAGAAGAAAAAGTAAAGTGAGTGGTGAGTAAGTATTAAAATAACTTCTGGAATCAATTACTTAACACTTTAATCACAGGATCTATTTTGCCTTATCCTTAAAAAATAATTTCCAAACTCCTAATTGCTCTTATTTCTTAATAAACTCTAGGCCGGGCACGGTGGCTCACGCCTGTAATCCTAGCACTCTGGGAGGCCGAGGCGGGAGGATTGCTCGAGGTCAGGAGTTCGAAACCAGCCTGAGCAAGAGCGAGACCCTGTCTCTACTATAAATAGAAAGAAATTAATTGGCCAACGTTTATTGGATCTGGTCATGTTGTTATTTTTTTTTGTTTGCTGTTGTGAGGTTGCCTTGGGGTCTTTTTTTTTTGAGAACATCGTTGCTAGAGTGAGTGCGTGCGTCTAGGCGTAGCTCTGTCGCTAGTTCCTGGCGGGTTGAGTGATCCTTGCTCCGTGTATGGTTACAGTCAGTGCGCTACCGATGCACCTGTGCTATTTTTTTATTTAGTCATACTATTAGTAGTACGAGACGGGGTCCCGCTGCTTGGCGTCAGGCTGGTATATTCGGGAACTCTGACCTTGGATCGCCGCCTCGGCCTCGCCATAGAGCTG